TTTGTCCGTCGGTTTGCGGGTGGTAAGCCGTGGAGGTAGCCGGTTTGACGCCAATTAAGCGCCAGAGTTCGCGCGTGAAGTCGGCGATGAACTGCGAGCCACGGTCCGAAATGTACTTCTCGGGGGTTCCGTGGTGCCTCCAGACGTTCCGATAGTACAAGCGGGCAGCTCCGACCGCGTCTATTGTCGTATGGCACTCAGTGAAGTGGGCGCGCTTTCCGAGGGCGTCGACCACTACCATAACCGCGTCATACCCATGGGCCTCGGGCAGCTCGACAATGAAGTCTACAGTGACAGTGTGCCAACGTTCGGGCGGGACTTCGGTCGGATGGAGCTCTCCATGCGGAAGCCTTCGGAGGGCCTTCGTGCGGCAGCATAAGTCGCAGGTCGCGACGTAGCGTCCGATATGGCGAGACATCTGCGGCCACCAGTAGTTGCGCGAAACCAACTCTAAGGTCTTGAACCGCCCGGCGTGTCCGGCGACTCGCGTATCGTGGCAGAGCTCGATGATGCGCCTCCTTAGGTCCTTGTCTTTAGGGACTACAACCTTGCCGCGGAAGTACAGGAGGTCGCCGGAGACGGCCCACTCGTCCGAACGTGATGAGCGGGGGCCCCGAACTTGACCTCGGACCTTCAAGAGTTGCCGGGCCGCAAGCGCGACGGGCTCCTCTAGGTCAGGCTCACCGGATAGCGCTTCCTTGATGTCGCGGACAAGTTCGGAGCCAGGCCCAGAGACGGTGACGGCCTCAAGCGCGAACGTGGAACAGTTCGGGGCGTAAGAGGGTGACATCCGAGTTGTCGTCGGAGATACCGTGGTCGGGCCGGGCGAGAGAGAGCATCGGGACGGCCCATCTGGCGACCTGGGACGTGGTGCAGCGTAAAGTCAAACCTGGAAAGGTACAACGACCATCGGGCTTGCCGACGGTTAAGGTGCTGTGCCTTTCGGAAATACTCCAAATTCTTATGGTCAGTCCAGATCTCGACCGGATGCGCGGGCGCCCTCGAGGAAATGCCGATACTCCTCGAGTGCGCGGATGATCGCGAGCATCTCCTTGTCGTGAATCTCGTAGTTGCGCTGGACATCATTTAAGCTTTTGGAATAGAACGCTACAGGGTGCCACTTCCCGTCCGGGGCGGATTGTTGTGAAAGAACCGCCCCGTCGCATAATCTGAGCTGTCTGCTTCAAGTCGGAAAGGCCGGGAGTCGTCCGGGATCGCTAAGACGGGCTCTGAGACGACCGCGTCTTTGATAGCTTGAAAGGCGGCGGCTTCGGCGTCTCCCCAGGTCCATTTCTGGTCTTTCTTGGTGAGCGCGAAGAGGGGTTGCGCTAGGGCCGAGAAATCCCGAATGAACCTGCGGTAGAAATTAGCAAACCCCAGGAACTGCTGGACGTCCTTCTTGTTCTCGGGCGGAGGCCATGCGGAGACTCCGGCAACCTTAACGGGATCCATTTCGACGTGGTTGTGAGAGATGATAACCCCCAGGTACTCGATTGACGATTTCTCGAAGTCGCACTTCTCCTTGCGAAGGTACAGCTTGTGCATTCGGAGTCGCCGAAGGACTTCGCGGACGATCTCGGGTGGTGCTTACGGAGGTCCGAATGCGCGATAAGGATATCGTCGAGGTAGATCATGACGTCTCCTGAGAGAATGAGATCCTGGAAAATGTCATTCATCATCGTTTGGAAAGTCGCGGGGGAGTTCGTCAGGCCAAAATACATCACCAAAGGTTCGAACAACCCTCGGTTGGTCCGAAAGGCCGCCTTCCACTCGTCTCCTTCTTTAATCCGGACGTTATTAAAGCCCCAGCGAACGTCGAGTTTGGTGAAGTAACGGGCGCCCTTAAGCCTGTTGATAAGGTCATTAATCAACGGGAGGGGGTACCGGTTCTTAATCGTCATTGCGTTGAGGGCGCGGTAGTCCTGGACAAACCGAAGTCCTCCGTCCTTTTTCTTAACGAAGAAGACGGGGGAAGCCATCGGAGATTTCGAAGGGCGGATACGGCCTGTGGCAAGTCCCTCCTCGATGAACTCGTCAAGTTCGCCTGTTCAAGGGGGAGATCGGATACACCTTGCAATTAGCGGGCTTCGCGTCGGGGACGAGTTCGATAGCGTGGTCCCAAGCCCTCCGCTCTGGTAACGTGTCGAAGGACTCCTTGTCAAAGACGTCTTGGAACTCCTTGGCCCAGTCCGGAATCTCCGAAGGCGGGGGGGCCGAGTTACGGGCGAAGGCCTCTGCAAGGCGTTGGGACACGGTGCTCCCAGCGGAATCTCCTCGATTGGGCGAAAGGAGGTGTAGAAGATGCGGTCGCCGTCTTCAAGATGCTCATCGTCGTCAAGGTCTGGTGAGCGCTCCGGAGGGTCCGAAGGAGCTCCGAAGTTCGTCGTCGGCATCGTCTGGGCCAGCGATATCGATAGCGCAAACGGTGGGGAAGGCGCCCGCAAGTAAGCGATTTAAGGAGTCGGAGGCGGCGAACCTCAGCGCGCTCGGTCCGTTCCTCGTCGCGGCAGGTGGAGCAGCTTCGGGGGCAGCGGCTCATTTTCACCTCCTTTGTTTCCCAGTTGATCTCGGGGTTATGCTTTTTGAGCCAGGAGTACCCGAGTATCAAGTCCTGTTTCCCAAGGTGGGTTACAGCCAGCTGAACGCGTTCGAGTGTCCGTTGTATCGTAGGACCAGGTCCGCGATTTGGCGAATAGACCCAGCATCATTGGGGGTGCCGTCGACATTGTAGACCGGTATGGGTACTGAGAGATTTCGGACTGGCACGTTGTTTCGGTTGACGTATTCTGTGTCGATAAAGTCCAGGTGGCTCCGCAGTCGACCAGACCCGAGAGGGAGAGCTTGAGCGCGTTCGCAGTGGACTCAAGTTCAAGGGGGAGGTGCAGCGAGTTAACGCCAGGAGCGGCAGAGATGGTATAACTGCCAGGTAGCTTTTTCTCCCAGGCAAGTCGGCGTATCCGAACGGGGGGCTTCGGAGGGGGGGGGGTGCGTCTTTCGTTTCAGGCTCGTTGTAAGGCAAGGGAGTTGATTCATCATACAAACAAGTGAAACGATTTATGGACGCGAACGAGGGCACACCAGTCACTCGTCGCGGGGACAAAATCCTCTGCCGGAGCCTCCGAATGCGCTTCTGCTAAGGCCGCGGTGTCGGACAACCGCGCAAGTAGCTCTCCTAGCATCTCATCGCCAAGTTGCTGGATCACCTCGTCGAGGATGTCCATATGGCGAACATCGGCGGGGAGCGGACAGTCCCGAGCCAAGTGATTGGGGTCGCCGCATCTGAAGCAGGCTCGACGAGGGGCGCCCCGAGCCCTAGTACGATCCAACTCCATAGGGACGGGAGCCGGAGGTACCGGGACGGGGCGCGGGCCGGGGTGGCGCAGGTGCGGCCACCGGGCGGATGGGGAAACGGAGTTGCCGAACGAGTGATGGGGAAGGCGCCGCGTGGAGCTCCCGGGCGGTCCGCGGGGTAGCCGTTCCCTTAATGAGCTTCGCTCGCACCAGGGCTTCATATTGTCGGAAAGCCCGAGTGCGCCAGCCTAGATAGTCACGGAGGTCTGGGGGTCGTTCGAAGAGGTGATGCCGTTGTTGATCAAGGGGTCAAGTCCGTGGCGGTACTTGGTTACCTTAACCAACGCGTCTTCGAAGCCAGCGAGGTCCATCAAGTCCTCGAAGTCGCCGGTATATCCGTAGACATCCCGCGTTCCCATGTGATAACCCGCGCTTTCCAACTTAGCGAGCGAGGTCCTGTTCGTTCTCCTCGACGAACCGAAGGCGAAACTCGGAGAGGAACTGGCTCCACCGAGGGAAGGGGAAGGGGTTTTTGCTCCCATGACGCTCTGCCCATTGCTGAGCAGGTCCCTCCGCCATATAGGACATGGCGTAGCGGACGGCCTTTTCTTCGCTTGGCTCTCCGTTAACTACGAAGGCCTCCGGGGCAAGCCGAGCGTAGGTTTTGACCGCGTATAGGAAGGCGCGGCCGTTTTGCGATCTCCGTTAAACGCAAATGGGGGGTTTGGTCGTAAGACCAGTTTTGAGGCGACAGTAATGTCACCAAATAACGCATCCGCGTCGGGGGCATTCGGAGATGCCGGGCGGCGGTTCGGGAGCTGCCGGAGGTGGTGCGGCAGCGGAAGCCTGGGAAGCAAGGTGGGTGAGGAGATTGGTGAGGTTGTCTAGTTTCGCCTCAAGTGGCGTCCATGCGCGTCAGCGTCCCGGAGCAGCTCCGGTAGACATAGCGGGCGTAAAGACGACAAGAGCAGAGGAGGAGGGGTCAAGTGGCAGGGGCGGTGACGAGGGGGGTGACGGACTCGTACTCCGAGCCTGAGTCAGCACCAAACCTGGCAATCTTGACCGGTTAATCCCGTAGAGAGTTTCTTCTGCTGTAAGGGCAACCCTGGAGACTCCGACGAAAGCCTAGCAGGGGAGGATCCAAAGCGTGAATAAAAGCTACGGGAAATACACGGAGGGACCGACCTAGCAGGGGAGGATCCAAAGAGAAGAAACTCTAAGGGTCCGCCTGCTAGGGCGCCAACTATATACTGGTCGTCCGTAACTGCCGACGTAGAGCGCAGAAGGCCTGAGCGGCGCGGCAGGCTCTGTCCCAAGGTGATCGTTGGGAGGGTCTTGACGGATCGGTGATTGTGCGGGCGAAGGAGGCCGTGGGACGATGGTCGGGGTGGGTCGGAGCGTCCGAGGGGGCGCCGGTCGGATGCGCCTCGGATGCGTTCGGAGGGTCCGGAGGGGCCGCGGGGTTCCCCTGACAGTTGTTGGAAGCCTCACCCACTCCGGACCCGCGCAAAATGCAGCTGAGTTTACAGGCATTTCTCGCTGGACGCGCCGAAATTCATGGCTGCCCTGTGGACGCTGCTGCTGGAAGCACAAAATGAAGTAACAGGTGTCCCACGCACTTTTGTCGAACAGAAGAAGGAGGAGATGCGCAAGGCGAGAGAAAACGACGGGAGGGTGTTGGACGAAAAGAGACAGGCGGGCAAGGTTAGATGAGATTACCGATTCCCGGTCTGGTAGAGGCAGAGGCAGAGGTTGTGGTGATTGGGGTGGAGGAAGGGGCAGGGATAGTGGCTGGGGTGCAAGAGGGCGTGGTGGAGGACCAGTATGTTTTATTTTCCCATTTTTTCTGCCTTTTTTTCACTCTCTACAGCCTCCCCCTCGTCGCCGTTCCCCTCCTCCCCCTCGTCGACGTCGCTCTCCCTCCCATGACAATGACATCCACAGCTCTCGTTCTCCGCCCCCACAGCGTCGTCGTCGGTCACGTACACCAGAATCAGACCGTTCTTCTCGGCCACCCTCCCGCTCACCGCCACCCGCTAAAGGTAATCGCCGTCGTCCACGCTCATACTCTCGCTCGCGCTCACCGCCGCCTCCCCGCGCCAACCGAAGAGACAGTCGCAGTCCGCCCGCCCGAAAACGCCGGATATCACGTGACCGTCGATCCAATATATCCCGTAGTCGCAGCCCCCCACGCAGGAGGAGCATCTCGCCGCGAGCAAGACGCTATCGGAGTCCAAGTAGGAGTCGCAGTAGATCGCCGCGTAACCGAAGTTCGGAGGGCCTTCGTGCGGCAGCATAAGTCGCAGGTCGCGACGTAGCGTCCGATATGGCGAGACATCTGCGGCCACCAGTAGTTGCGCGAAACCAACTCTAAGGTCTTGAACCGCCCGGCGTGTCCGGCGACTCGCGTATCGTGGCAGAGCTCGATGATGCGCCTCCTTAGGTCCTTGTCTTTAGGGACTACAACCTTGCCGCGGAAGTACAGGAGGTCGCCGGAGACGGCCCACTCGTCCGAACGTGATGAGCGGGGGCCCCGAACTTGACCTCGGACCTTCAAGAGTTGCCGGGCCGCAAGCGCGACGGGCTCCTCTAGGTCAGGCTCACCGGATAGCGCTTCCTTGATGTCGCGGACAAGTTCGGAGCCAGGCCCAGAGACGGTGACGGCCTCAAGCGCGAACGTGGAACAGTTCGGGGCGTAAGAGGGAGACATCCGAGTTGTCGTCGGAGATACCGTGGTCGGGCCGGGCGAGAGAGAGCATCGGGACGGCCCATCTGGCGACCTGGGACGTGGTGCAGCGTAAAGTCAAACCTGGAAAGGTACAACGACCATCGGGCTTGCCGACGGTTAAGGTGCTGTGCCTTTCGGAAATACTCCAAATTCTTATGGTCAGTCCAGATCTCGACCGGATGCGCGGCGCCCCCGAGGAAATGCCGATACTCCTCGAGTGCGGGATGATCGCGAGCATCTCCTTGTCGTGAATCTCGTAGTTGCGCTGGACATCATTTAAGCTTTTGGAATAGAATGCTACAGGGTGCCACTTCCCGTCCGGGGGGATTGTTGTGAAAGAACCGCCCCGTCGCATAATCTGAGCTGTCTGCTTCAAGTCGGAAAGGCCGGGAGTCGTCCGGGATCGCTAAGACGGGCTCTGAGACGACCGCGTCTTTGATAGCTTGAAAGGCGGCGGCTTCGGCTCTCCCCAGGTCCATTTCTGGTCTTTCTTGGTGAGCGAAGAGGGGGTTGCGCTAGGGCCGAGAAATCCCGAATGAACCTGCGGTAGAAATTAGCAAACCCCAGGAACTGCTGGACGTCCTTCTTGTTCTCGGGCGGAGGCCATGCGGAGACTCCGGCAACCTTAACGGGATCCATTTCGACGTGGTTGTGAGAGATGATAACCCCCAGGTACTCGATTGACGATTTCTCAAGTCGCACTTCTCCCTTGCGAAGGTACAGCTTGTGCATTCGGAGTCGCCGAGGGACTTCGCGGACGATCTCGCGGTGCTTACGGAGGTCCGAATGCGCGATAAGGATATCGTCGAGGTAGATCATGACGTCTCCTGAGAGAATGAGATCCTGGAAAATGTCATTCATCATCGTTTGGAAAGTCGCGGGGAGTTCGTCAGGCCAAAATACATCACCAAAGGTTCGAACAACCCTCGGTTGGTCCGAAAGGCCGCCTTCCACTCGTCTCCTTCTTTAATCCGGACGTTATTAAAGCCCCAGCGAACGTCGAGTTTGGTGAAGTAACGGGCGCCCTTAAGCCTGTTGATAAGGTCATTAATCAACGGGAGGGGGTACCGGTTCTTAATCGTCATTGCGTTGAGGGCGCGGTAGTCCTGGACAAACCGAAGTCCTCCGTCCTTTTTCTTAACGAAGAAGACGGGGGAAGCCATCGGAGATTTCGAAGGGCGGATACGGCCTGTGGCAAGTCCCTCCTCGATGAACTCGTCAAGTTCGCGCTGTTCAAGGGGGAGATCGGATACACCTTGCAATTAGCGGGCTTCGCGTCGGGACGAGTTCGATAGCGTGGTCCCAAGCCCTCCGCTCTGGTAACGTGTCGAAGGACTCCTTGTCAAAGACGTCTTGGAACTCCTTGGCCCAGTCCGGAATTTCCGAAGGCGGGGGGGGCCGAGTTACGGGCGAAGGCCTCTGCAAGGCGTTGGGACACGGTGCTCCCAGCGCGAATCTCCTCGATTGGGCGAAAGGAGGTGTAGAAGATGCGGTCGCCGTCTTCAAGATGCTCATCGTCGTCAAGGTCTGGTGAGCGCTCCGGAGGGTCCGAAGGAGCTCCGAAGTTCGTCGTCGGCATCGTCTGGGCCAGCGATATCGATAGCGCAAACGGTGGGGAAGGCGCCCGCAAGTAAGCGCGATTTAAGGAGTCGGAGGCGGCGAACCTCAGCGCGCTCGGTCCGTTCCTCGTCGCGGCAGGTGGAGCAGCTTCGGGGCAGCGGCTCATTTTCACCTCCTTTGTTTCCCAGTTGATCTCGGGGTTATGCTTTTTGAGCCAGGAGTACCCGAGTATCAAGTCCTGTTTCCCAAGGTGGGTTACAGCCAGCTGAACGCGTTCGGAGTGTCCGTTGTATCGTAGGACCAGGTCCGCGATTTGGCGAATAGACCCAGCATCATTGGGGGTGCCGTCGACATTGTAGACCGGTATGGGTACTGAGAGATTTCGGACTGGCACGTTGTTTCGGTTGACGTATTCTGTGTCGATAAAGTCCGAAGTGGCTCCGCAGTCGACCAGACCCGAGAGGGAGAGCTTGAGCGCGTTCGCAGTGGACTCAAGTTCAAGGGGGAGGTGCAGCGAGTTAACGCCAGGAGCGGCAGAGATGGTATAACTGCCAGGTAGCTTTTTCTCCCAGGCAAGTCGGCGTATCCGAACGGGGGGCTTCGGAGGGGGCAGGGGGTGCGTCTTTCGTTTCAGGCTCGTTGTAAGGCAAGGGAGTTGATTCATCATACAAACAAGTGAAACGATTTATGGACGCGAACGAGGGCACACCAGTCACTCGTCGCGGGGGGACAAAATCCTCTGCCGGAGCCTCCGAATGCGCTTCTGCTAAGGCCGCGGTGTCGGACAACCGCGCAAGTAGCTCTCCTAGCATCTCATCGCCAAGTTGCTGGATCACCTCGTCGAGGATGTCCATATGGCGAACATCGGCGGGGAGCGGACAGTCCCGAGCCAAGTGATTGGGGTCGCCGCATCTGAAGCAGGCTCGACGAGGGGCGCCCCGAGCCCTAGTACGATCCAACTCCATAGGGACGGGAGCCGGAGGTACCGGGACGGGGGCGCGGGCCGCGGGTGGCGCAGGTGCGGCCACCGGGCGGATGGGGAACGGAGTTGCCGAACGAGTGATGGGGAAGGCGCCGCGTGGAGCTCCCGGCGGTCCGCGGGGTAGCCGTTCCCTTAATGAGCTTCGCTCGCACCAGGGCTTCATATTGTCGGAAAGCCCGAGTGCGCCAGCCTAGATAGTCACGGAGGTCTGGGGGTCGTTCGAAGAGGTGATGCCGTTGTTGATCAAGGGGTCAAGTCCGTGGCGGTACTTGGTTACCTTAACCAACGCGTCTTGAAGCCAGCGAGGTCCATCAAGTCCTCGAAGTCGTCGGTATATCCGTAGACATCCCGCGTTCCCATGTGATAACCCGCGCTTTCCAACTTAGCGAGCGCGAGGTCCTGTTCGTTCTCCTCGACGAACCGAAGGCGAAACTCGGAGAGGAACTGGCTCCACCGAGGGAAGGGGAAGGGGTTTTTGCTCCCATGACGCTCTGCCCATTGCTGAGCAGGTCCCTCCGCCATATAGGACATGGCGTAGCGGACGGCCTTTTCTTCGCTTGGCTCTCCGTTAACTACGAAGGCCTCCGGGCAAGCCGAGCGTAGGTTTTGACCGCGTATAGGAAGGCGCGGCCGCGTTTGCGATCTCCGTTAAACGCAAATGGGGGGTTTGGTCGTAAGACCAGTTTTGAGGCGACAGTAATGTCACCAAATAACGCATCCGCGTCGGGGGCATTCGGAGATGCCGGCGGTTCGGGAGCTGCCGGAGGTGGTGCGGCAGCGGAAGCCTGGGAAGCAAGGTGGGTGAGGAGATTGGTGAGGTTGTCTAGTTTCGCCTCAAGTGCGTCCATGCGCGCGTCAGCGTCCGGAGCAGCTCCGGTAGACATAGCGGGCGTAAAGACGACAAGAGCAGAGGAGGAGGGGTCAAGTGGCAGGGGCGGTGACGAGGGGGGGTACGGACTCGTACTCCGAGCCTGAGTCAGCACCAAACCTGGCAATCTTGACCGGTTAATCCCGTAGAGAGTTTCTTCTGCTGTAAGGGCAACCCTGGAGACTCCGACGAAAGCCTAGCAGGGGAGGATCCAAAGCGTGAATAAAAGCTACGGGAAATACACGGAGGGACCGACCTAGCAGGGGAGGATCCAAAGAGAAGAAACTCTAAGGGTCCGCCTGCTAGGGCGCCAACTATATACTGGTCGTCCGTAACTGCCGACGTAGAGCGCAGAAGGCCTGAGCGGCGTCGCAGGCTCTGTCCCAAGGTGATCGTTGGGAGGGTCTTGACGGATCGGTGATTGTGCGGGCGAAGGAGGCCGTGGACGATGGTCGGGGTGGGTCGGAGCGTCCGAGGGGGCGCCGGTCGGATGCGCCTCGGATGCGTTCGGAGGGTCCGAAGGAGGCCGAAGCGGGGGTTCCCCTGACAGTTGTTGGAAGCCTCACCCACTCCGGACCCGCGCAAAATGCAGCTGAGTTTACAGGCATTTCTCGCTGCGGACGCGCCGAAATTCATGGCTGCCCTGTGGACGCTGCTGCTGGAAGCACAAAATGAAGTAACAGGTGTCCCACGCACTTTTGTCGAACAGAAGAAGGAGGAGATGCGCAAGGCGAGAGAAAACGACGGGAGGGTGTTGGACGAAAGAGACAGGCGGGCAAGGTTAGATGAGATTACCGATTCCCGGTCTGGTAGAGGCAGAGGCAGAGGTTGTGGTGATTGGGGTGGAGGAAGGGGCAGGGATAGTGGCTGGGGTGCAAGAGGGCGTGGTGGAGGACCAGTATGTTTTATTTTCCCATTTTTTCTGCCTTTTTTCACTCTCTACAGCCTCCCCCTCGTCGCCGTTCCCCTCCTCCCCCTCGTCGACGTCGCTCTCCCTCCCATGACAATGACATCCACAGCTCTCGTTCTCCGCCCCCACAGCGTCGTCGTCGGTCACGTACACCAGAATCAGACCGTTCTTCTCGGCCACCCTCCCGCTCACC